AACACTGCCTCTGTACTGAATGTCCTGTTTAAACTTTCATGATCTCTCTTCCTGTCTCAAATGTCTGTCTGCAGGAGTCTTCAAATAACACCTCCAACTTTAATAAGTAAAGAAACCATTTGAAACGAAATGTTTGGTGACTAAATCGGTCAATATTTATACAGCCTATTGTATTTTATTTTGACATGATCTGAGGTCCTATACAACTTTATTACAAATTCATTCATTTACTTTTCAGAAGTCCGTATTTACCAAGTAATTGATGATGAGCTATCAGTTTATTCCCCACAATAATATACCATGTGGGTAGATCAACCTCCAGGTGTTTGTACTGTAAACATGTTTTTAACGTGACAGTTGTATATGGGCATTACTTGTAACATAAGTCAATTTAAACTCTGAATGACAATGGAGTAATGATATTCTCAACACATTTTATTTTGCAATGACAACAGGTGAAGTCTCACCAGGAACCAACATTCTAAAGTCCCACCTTCATACAAGTTTACTGTGAACATATTTCAGAGAGATCGGATAACCTATGCATTAGATCAGATGATTTCAAATGGAAAGAGACATCAGCTCAAAACTTTTTGGTTATAATAAGGCTCATTTATTGTAAACTTTTTGGTTATAATAAGGCTCATTTATTGTAAACTTTTTGGTTATAATAAGGCTCACTTATTGTACACTTTTTTGTTATAATAAGGCTCATTTATTGTAAACTTTTTGGTTATAATAAGGCTCATTTATTGTAACAATTCTGGAAGCAAAATCAGACAAACATGTTGGTCTAAACTTGCTGACGACTAGAGCTAGCTGATAAAAAACACTACACAAAACAGCTTATAGTTTACTGGTAGAGTTGTGATGATACTGTCATATATCTGAGATCTATTTTGTACAGGCTTGGTTTTAAACATGCTTATTGCTAAAGAAGTTAAAATGTCTTTTGCATAATGATTTTATTCATTTTGCAAAGAAGATTACTGAACTATGAACTACTAAAAAAAAACTGCACAAAAACCTGTTTATGACATCAGAACCAGTTCACCACTACCAAATATACATTTCTTTTATGGTAAAGAACATACCACTGCCAGGAGCATCACTTCGTAACAAGCAGTTATTCACATTAAGCATACCTTACTGCATAAAATTTAAAACAAAACATTAGACATAAATCAGTGAAAGGAACATTCAGTAAATAATTAGTTTATACAAGTCCACAATTTAATCACCAATAATGCCAATTAAAAGGAATCTCAATTATAAGCAATAAATCCTGACAATGTGTGTTGGGTGTAGAATGTTTGTGTTGAGAGTAGAATGTGTGTTGAGAGTAGAATGTCTCAGTAGCAGAGGTCGGCATGGTTCTTGCTTCACCTTCCAACAGCTTATAATAGACTGGAAAAGATCAATGAACTAAACAATCTACATCCAACATAGAGGGAAAGGCAGGTTTTAAATCCATTTCCTCTGAACTGTGCAGCAAGATGGGACCGGAAATTACAAAATGATACAATCTCTACATCCAGTGTTTCTGTTTGTTAACACGCCTGCTTTATTATCACATTACCTCATCATTACTGAGCACTTCATAAAAATCAATTTTCTGCAATGAAAATCATATTACTGCATTTGCAGTCGTTTTTGTCAATTTGTTTTATAAGTTGTGTTTTACACAGTAAATAATTTGCTATGATAACTGACATAGCAACATTATAACTTGTATGACAACTCAATGCAACGGTTTGTTTGGTTGGTATATTTAGTCAGTGAAATATTTAGTCAGTGAAATATGTCCTACAGGCCAGACTTAGGCTAATCAGGGGCCATGGTCCACAGACAACAGGGACCAGACTTACACTGACCAGAGACTATAGGGGCCAAGACAAAGCCAACAGGGACCCAACTTACACTGACTATAGGGCCATGGTTTACTGACAACAGCGACCAGACTTACACTGACCAGGTGATAGGGTCCACAGACAACAGGGACCAGAATTACACTGACCAGGGGATAGGGTCCACAGATAACAGGGGACAGAATACACTGACCAGAGACCAGGGTCCACAGCCAAAAGGGACCAGAATTACACTGACCAGGGGCTAGGGACCACAGCAAACAGGGAACAGACTTCACTGACCAGAGGCCAGGGTCCATTTACAGCAGGGACCAGACTTACACTGACCAGGGACTAGAATCAATTGTCAAAAGGGATCAGATTTTTACCAGGGGGACACCATTATAGTAAAGCATGTTTCAAATTAAGTAGACCCTTCATAGGTGTAACAGAGCATAGGCTCATTAACAGACAACACCCAAGATATCTAATTAAGAAATTAGTAGACCCATTTATTTTTAGTGAAGAATACAGGTCTTTTGACGGCATGGATAATTTATTTGACCTTAGAATTTTCTCCTGAATGGCCCAATTTCAATTGTCATTTTCAATACACTTTCTGAAACAATTTTTTGTCTTTGAAAACAGTTTTATTCAGTATTAATAAAACCTGTCCTTAAATACTGACTTCCATTTTAATCAGTTTTTTTAATTTTTATTCATAAGCCAGTTTCCAAATGATACACTTTTATAAGAAACAACTTGTTTTAATCATGAAGGTTCATATTCAGGTAAATTGGTTTTGAGACCTCAAGTGTTTAACCTACTTCTGATCATTGTAATGTGTTTAGGTGTGTTAGTTCAGACTTGTCAGCGTAAGTATTATGACAATTCATTTATTTACTTGTTTTTGGATGATCTTTCAACTTCCTACGCAACTTCCTTTTCTCCCATCTGAACATTTCTTTTTCTAATTTTCTACGTTAAGAAGTTTGTGTTTACCTGATACCAAACTAACGAGACTTTCACTAATCTGGCCCAGATCATGTGGTTTGGCTAATCTCACTATAATCCCACTAGTAGCAGACATTACACAGGGCTGTGGTAAATTATTGTTTGTAATAACAAATATGTCATTACAATCTGTGTAACTCAATAAAACCTTCAGTTATATTAAAACAAACTTGATGAGGTCAGTGAACTGTCAAGGAGATAACCTTCAACTTCTCAACCTCCAAAGCCACGCCGGTCAGCTGTCTCCAGCTGAAACCCACTAAAGTAGCCCCAAAATACTCAGGTAAAGGTTCACTGGAGTCTGACTCTTAGTCTGAGAAAACAGTGGGACAATTTCACAATAGGGGGAGAAGAAATGTGTAAAAACAGCAAGTCTCCAAACTTTGTTGTGGGGACTTAATAATGTGTCCTCAAACACTTTGATTCCCGTAAGATTGGGGAGCCACTACTATACAATTAAAGTAAGGTTTTATTGATATCAATGTACATAAAACATATAAAACAAGAGTACCGCAGGGCGGAACAATATATGCCCGTCGAATGGCATATAGTGTTATATACTTTCTTACATTGAATTAAGATCTGCATCATTCTAAGAGTGGTTAGCTGACATGCTATAAAAAATGTAGGAGAAAATCTCCGAACAAAAAATTAATTACTGAAATGAACAAAGGACAATTGCTTTTGCAAAAATCGTTGAATCAAAATTCTTTTAAGGGAGACACAACTTCATATCATGATAATATATACCAAGTTTCAAAGAGATCTGTTGAAAAATGTAGGAGGAGATTGCCGGACAAAATCAAATACTGAAATAAACAAAGGGCAATAACTTTTGCAAAAATTGTCGAATCAAAATTCTTTTCAAGGAAACACAACAACATATCATGATTATTTAGCCTACTAAGTTTCAAAGAGATCTGTTGAAAAATGTAGGAGGAGATTGCCGGACAAAAATCAAATACTGAAATAAACAAAGGGCAATAACCTTTGGAAAAATTGTCGAATCAAAATTCTTTTAAGGGAGACACAACTTCATAGCATGATTACAATGTAAACCAAGTTTCAAAGAGATTGATAAAAAAATGTAGGAGGAGATTGCCGGACAAACGAAAGTTTACCCCAGACGGACGGCCGTGGACGGCCGGACAAACCCATACCATAATACTCCCGTCAAATTTGACGGGCGTATAAAAATGAGAAAAATGTGTTCTACAAAATAACGCAAAAAAAATCACATTTAGATAATCGAACATGCGGTTTTAAAAAGACATGTCAGTCATGAACAGACACAAAGCTTCCTGCAATGTACTTGATCCCGTTCCTGATCCATAAGTCTATTCCAGAAGGGGGTCTACCTATACCAGGGGTCTATCTACCTGTGTACACAGCTAACACCGGATCTATCTACATATCTATGTAACCACAATTCATGACACCAAACTATTTCAATGCTATAGATTTTCTATTCTCAAAATATCTCGTTTGAATAAGGACATGTAAATTTTTCTATTCATTCACGGCATGAGCAAATTGATTATAAATGTATATATATATATATTTGATTTCTTTTCAAATATATTTTTAATTGATTGACTCATCCGAAAACTACATAATTTAGTTGAACATTAAAATATTCCTGTCCTATAGAATTGCGTTTGTCGTGATATCGATGCTCTTCTATAGCTTTAATGAATTGAATGTATTGAGTTTCATCATATTTCAATGGATTCTAGATCAATTTCCCTCTGGATTGCACAGATTACTCTCGCTGTTTATACTTGTATGCTTATTACACCTGTGTAAGTGTTGTTCTGGTCACGTAACCATAGGACACCGTCACTTTTTATTGGATCACAAATTGATGCAATACTTTAATTATACAATATTAAACATGTACACTGCCAAAAAGTATGCTCACAACTTATTTCGGATTACAAAATCCATTTTTATCTACATAAGTCACTAAGGCAACCAATAGACTATTACAGTTTTGATAGGAACAATCAATTGCTAATATAAGGTTGTAATGGATCAAATCACAAGATTCCTCAATCTATTACCTCAACCCACCAATCCTTGATTCTTGACTTGATTTAAAACATTTACATATATTTGGTGTTCCATTGACCCAATTACCTGCTTTGTTGAAATATTCCAACTTATCTAAAAGGTTATCACCGATGAAGTTTAGTGCGATTGATGGGAAGAACATGAAGTTAACATCATCTTCGTCTGTGTGGTGGTTTTTCCTGTCTCCCACGGAGTGACGCCTCATGGGCAGGAGGTTTTTCCTGTCTCCATCGGAGTGACACCTCAAAGGCAAGAGCTGTGTCCTGCCATCTGCACCCTCCCCCCTTACACCTGGGAGCAGATTGTGTTGATACATTACTACAGGTCACCTCTGTCCAGTCTGGTCATAACACATCTTTAATGACCAGGACACTCACATCCAATAGAAGACCAGGCACATTGTCACTTAACTCACTGGACGTCCATAATATGTCTGATATAAAGCTGAATTAACACTAGTATTCCCTACTGCTGGCAATGTCAAAAGTGACCGAACCTTTTTACACACACCTGTACACTTAATTACAGGTAAATATCACTATCTATTCAACACTGATCACAACTTGTAGAAATTCCACAGAAACAAGTCATCATCAGAACTCCTATAGACACACCAGCTACACATCAGAAGGTTAATGTTACACCGTGCTGCCCTACAGGAGGAATTCAATACCAAATGAATCTTTTATCTATAGTTTTACAAGAGTGCTAGCAGGTTAATAGTTCTCTCGTATCATTAATCACATGTAACAGACATCTCCGATTAATGCCAGCCGCAGCTTCTCACTTTAAGAGTTGCATCCCGCAATACCTGAGGAGCACAGGACGGTATCCAGCCTCACAGAGCCACAGGTGCTATTACTGGGTAAATGTCAGCCTCACCTGTACCACAGGTACCACGGGACAATTCTTGGAGCACTCATTATTACCACACACAGGGACAGCTTGTTGCCATTTAGTTCATTGATTATATTGAAGCTATGTTTTTCCCATCCAAGGCCAACTTGAAAGTACCTGTTCAATATTGTACACCATATATACACTGCTGTCCGCTGATTTTCTGGTCCTACAGGGTAATGGTGTTTGAAGTTTTTGTTGGGGATCACGTTTCAGTAATCCCTGTTTGTCCAGTATTGTAGAACTAATACTAGTGATATAATGATATACCCAATGAAAACAAAGTGGAGATAAGTAACAAGCTGACGGTCGTGACTACTGACAGCCCTCTTTAGTACTCTTTACACCTACAGCGGCACACACCTTAAACTACCACACAGGTACACGGCCTCCATACCAATGAAACTAATATTGAATATATATTCTATTTTTGATTGAACCCGGGTCATTCCGTTGGATTATTGTCAGAAAGAATTTACATAAGCTGTCGGTCACATATCATTGGGCAGCCTTAGCAGTAGTGCATGGTTAGCTGGACTTGTCCTAACACACCAGACATTTAAAGGGAAAACTCTAGTTTTCATTGCTATGAAAAGGCTGATTTTGTACATACAATAACAAACATAGAATAGTTTTATATCCTTCTATCTTATATTATACCTTGTTAGGGCCAGTACACTAAACACAGGGGACGGTAGTAAATCTTCTACCCGACGGTAACACCCCCATTACTGATCTGAAGAATTCTTTAATCAATTTTATTTCACTCACGTTGTGTTCTTCTACAAGTTTTGCAGATTGCAACACCTAATTTTGTATACATATATACAGCTATAAAAAAGGGTTACTACAAACTTATCTAAATGGATACATTTAGAAATAATTAGGAAATCATTTCTGAATCATTACATAGACAGGTTTAAATGACAGAAATTCACAAAAATAATGAGTTTTTTTGCTTTTCAGTGTTTCTTGCTGATGTCATAGATATTTTTTAATAATTACCACTTGGGCGTACTTTGTGAGTGATCCTCATATACCCATCCAACTGTCACATAACTACACTACACATACCGACTCATCAGGACTTTGTCAATCTTACAAACTTATTACCACAATAACAAGCCTTCACACCTGTAAGGATGACACAACTGTTAATTATTCTATCATAAGGGCAACTTATACAAAAAGCCAACTTAAACACTCTATACAGTTGAAAAAGACGTCATGTTAGGACAACAAATGAAGTGCCTCGTACAGAGGGGAAAATATCTCATTAATAGATCAATTTAAACACTCTGTACAGTGGGCAAAGATAACACAACTTGTAGAAGGAGAAGGTGTAACATGAACATTCCACATACAGTTGGAAACATCACATTCACAGGGCAACATCCTAGTTTACACATCACATTCCCAGGGCAACATCCTAGTTTGCTCATCACATTCACAGGGCAACATCCTTAAGTTTGCTCATCACATTCACAGGGCAACATCCTAGTTTGCTCATCACATTCACAGGGCAACATCCTAGTTTACACATCACATTCACAGGGCAACATCCAAGTTTGCTAATTCATATCAATCATATTCACTATTTTATCAAAATATAAAGTGTCCACCAAACCTGACGACACGAGGACACACAAGCACCAGTATCCCCACAACTGTGAAAACCAGAGGTCAAGGACAAGGTCAAGCAAACACAATGGCAATCACAGGAAACCAAGTAAAGTGAATTTGTAAAATAACACTTATCATTTGCTTGGAAACAAGTTAAATGGTTAAACATGAAACTACTTCATCTGCTGATAAATGTTCTGGTATGGTTTACTCAACAGCAAGAAAAACCCAGCACATGTTCATTATGAAAATATTAAGACTTAATATGTTATTAATACTTTGATGGTAGGCAATTTTATTTGCATAAAATTTTGTGTAGCTATGCATGTGTAGCTATGCATGTCTAGCTCTGCATGCAGCAGGCGATCAGACTGCTGTCCGATCATGCAGTCTGACTGCCTGTGCCTATGTAGGCTATGTTTACATTGGTCTTTTCTTTCGGAACCTTTCTGCATTTATGTATCAACATATCTTATTACTCCCAGAAGGCTCTCGGACTTCTTCGGAAAATACATACCTAATATGGAACTTGTCTGGTCAAAGCTGACCAATAGAGTTAAGCCAAGTTAAGATAAGGGTCCATGGCTGACCAATGTAAAGAAAGATCCCTACTGGGGAGAACCCCCATGGTCAGCATCTGATATCCCAAGCTACCGCCTCATCACTTTTAAATTCTCTGGCGAGGCGGCAGCAGCTTTGATTTTTGACCTTCTTTCTAAATTCCCACCCACCCTTACTTTCCCAATTTTTTATCTTTAATTACATTAGTTTTGTTTGTTATATTGTAGATAATGTAGAATTGGCGTAGTAGGAGGACCATAGTTTAAGTTTAAACTACGGAAACAAATAATGATACTGCTTTATTGTTATTACTGTTTTGTAATTATGTAATGCGCAATAAATCATGGTCTATGTTCACCCAAACCAATTTGTATGTTGTTCTTTGCCATAACATGTACATGAGATTGGATTAATTTGCATGTTTCACTTGAGAATAACCATCATGCTGGTTCTAACTAATTGTACTGGAGTAAGCTGGCACTGGGTGCACTTTTACTGTGGAGCGTGCTGACTACAAGTGTTCTTTTACTCTGGAGCCTGCTGGCTCTGAATGTAGTTGTACTGTGGAGCGTGCTGGCCTCGAGTGTACTTTTACTGTGGAGCGTGCTGACTACAAGTGTGCTTTTACTCTGGAGCCTGCTGGCTCTGTATGTAGTTGTACTGTGGAGCGTGTTGGCTACAAGTGTACTTTTACTGTGGAGCGTGCTGGCTTCGAGGGTACTTTTACTGTGGAGCGTGCTGGCTCTGTATGTAGTTGTACTGTGGAGCGTCCTGGCTCTGAATGTAGTTGTAGTGTGGAGCGTGCTGGCTCTGAATGGAGTTGTACTGTGGAGCGTGCTGGCTCTGAATGTAGTTGTACTGTGGAGCGTGCTGGCTTCGAGTGTACTTTTACTCTGGAGCCTGCTGGCTCTGAATGTAGTTGTACTGTGGAGCATGCTGGCTCTGAATGTAGATGTACTGTGGAGCGTGCTGGCACTGAATGTAGTAGTACTGTGGAGCGTGTTGGCTACAAGTGTACTTTTGCTGTGGAGCGTGCTGGCTCTGAATGTAGTTGTACTGTGGAGCGTGTTGGCTACAAGTGTACTTTTACTGTGGAGCGTGCTGGCTCTGAATGTAGGGCTTCTACAGACTGAGTCAATCTAAAGTAGGCCACCACAGACTGAGTTAATCTAAAGTAGGGCCACCACAGACTGAGTCAATATAAAGTAGGGCCACCACAGACAAATTCAATGTAAAGTAGGGCCACCACAGACTGAGTCAATCTTAAGTAGGGCCACCACAGACTGAGTCAATCTAAAGTAGGGCCACCGCAGACTGAGTCAATATAAAGTAGGGCCACCACAGACTGAGTCAATCTAAAGTAGGCCACCACAGACTGAGTTAATCTAAAGCAGGGCAACCACAGACAAAGTCAATCTAAAGTAGGGCCACCACAGACTGAGTCAATATAAAGTAGGGCCACCACAGACTGAGTCAATCTAAAGTAGGCCACCCCAGACTGAGTCAATCTAAAGTAGGGCAACCACAGACTGAGTGAATCTTAAGTAGGGCCACCACAGACAAAGTAAATTTAAAGTAGGGCCACCACAGACTGAGTCAATCTCAAGTAGGGCCACCATAGACAAAGTCAATCTAAAGTAGGGCAACCACAGACTGAGTCAATCTAAAGTAGGGCCACCACAGACCGAGTCAATCTTAAGTAGGGCAACCACAGACTGAGTCAATCTAAAGTAAGGCCACCATAGACTGAGTCAATCTAAAGTAGGGCCTCCATAGACTGAGTCAATCTAAAGTAGGCCACCACAGACTGAGTCAATCTAAAGTAGGGCCACCACAGACTGAGTCAATCTTAAGTAGGGCAACCACAGACTGAGTCAATCTAAAGTAAGGCCACCATAGACTGAGTCAATCTAAAGTAGGGCCTCTATAGACTGAGTCAATCTTAAGTAGGGCACTAAACATCATCAAAAACAAGTTCATCATCAAGGAAAACTACAGCATCTGATACTACTGAGTCAATCTACACTCAGATCACTCCAAGGTAAAGTTGCCATTATGACAAGTCCAGTATCTGCTGGTAGGTATATAATTATTTCCAGTATCTCCTGGTAGTCACTTTAAACAGTGATTGACAACCAGTGACTATACAACCATTCAGATATAGGTGATGTACTTCTAGAAATACTGACAAATGCCAATCATTAGATATGGTCACCAGACACACCAAAACTGACCCTCTCTCCAACACATTAACATTTAAAAGGAGTGACCATCTCAAGCCAACTGGGTGATCCTAACCTGGACATGTGAAAATAACCACATCAATCCATTCAGTACCAAATGTCTTCAGGGTCATCTGCCCAACTTAAAGATGGCAGGAACCATCAATATAAGCTCTAAAAACAGTACAAATAATCTGCCAAGCTATGGACAATCTTTGCAATGCTTATATAAACAAGATCAATACAGAATATGGCAAAGTTAAGGAACATCAACATAAAGCTCTTCAAACAAGATGAGCACACACACTTACAAGGTAAAGACCATCAATGTGAAACTCTATAAATAGGATCAACACACTGGCAAGTTAAGGAACATCAACGTAAAGCTGTATAAAAAGGTTAACACATTGTGGCAAGCTAAGAACCATCACATTAAAGCTCAAAACAAGATAAAAAAAAACCATAGATAATTGGGCACAACTTGTGATCTAATGCTCCTTTCAGTAAAATCCCTAACCAAACCTATTTGTTTACTAATCATGATGAGGACAATTCTGTCAATAATGTTTAGTACTTGGCTCACTGACAAATTCAACATTGGAGATTTCCCTCCTGTAACTATAGGGGTTGTCTGAGGAACCCTCAAGATGTAATCAATGTTAGAGCTGTAAACACATCCAGTCTTATTCCTGCACACACTTAAACATCATATTGTACAGCAATAGCTGTTAAACCGAAGTACTGGGTGAAGATATGGGTTGTTTTTGCTAAAACTTATTGAAAGAATGTTCCTATGTAATATCCAGATTACTGTGCTGTGTCCTATTTAGGTGAATTTTCCTGATGACTGTACAATATATACATTAACACTAATTTTCCTGATGACTGTACAATATATACATTAACACCAATTTTCCTGATGACTGTACAATATATACATTAACACTAATTTTCCTGATGACTGTACAATATATACATTAACACT